CACTGATGCATAGACATAGACTAACTTTGTAAAGGACCATATTTTTAGTAAAAATCAATATTAGATATTTGAAGATTCTAATAAAATCCATGCCGTTTAGCTGCTTCCAAAGTGAGCCGACCAATGACAATTGTTATTGTTGACATTAGCCTATTTTGGTTGCGAGTTGTGTTTTGGATCCTAACTGTGGGGTGAAATTGCAGCTTTTTAGTGCTCATAGTAGTAAAAACTGAGAGCCAGAGTAATATTTTATTAGTAATTAGTAATTAGTGTGTTTTATATAAATTTCCACACAAATACAAAGATTTTTTAAGAGTAGATGAAAATAAAAAACAACTGTTTACTTTCTTGGCAGAACAGTTAATAAGAGAGCATTAAAAACATTAGTCTGTACGCTTGAAGAAAGAGTAACATCATCTTCAGAAGAGTTGGATTTATCGGCTATAACACCCTCATGGCATGAAGAAGCGGACGGACGCCTTCTCCTTCACGCTAAGCATGCAGCTGACAATAGTCACGAATCTGTATGCATTCGGACAGTAGACTCAGATGTTGTAGCAATTGCAGTATCTGCCTTTTCAAATTTTGAAAATATTCAACAGCTTTGGATTGATTTTGGAACTGAAAAAAATCGTAGGTTAATCGGCATCCACGAGCTCTGTTCTCATTTATCCCAAGAGATCTGTAGTTATTTGCCTATTTTTCATTCGGTAACGGGCTGCGATACTGTGTCATCATTTTGTGGAGTAGGCAAGAAAAGAGCTTGGAAGGCAGTGTGTGTCGAGGCTATACGGCGGTATACGGCCGTATAATAACTATTTGATTTTTGAAAGAAATGCGTAACCAGTTTATCCTCAAGCGTGTTGGGTATACGCTTACGCTCGATCGTTTTTAACAACTTTATAACTTATAATTTCGTGTTTAAAACCGACATTCATCAAAATAAGCAAATAAATATTGCTCTGTTGCCAACATTTCATTTTCACTCCCACCCATCATCGTATAGCAGCCAGTCGCTGAGTCAGACGTACCTTTGCTGGCAACTACCTCTCAAGTCTCACTAGTCACGTCACTTGTGGCCTTGTGGTGCAGCGCGCAGATTGCAGTGATACCGATTGCTTGATTTTCGAAGTGTAGTGAACTAACGGGAGTGCTGGTCTTTTTTCGTCTTGAATCATTGAATCACACCACATACATCATTGAAAAGACAAAGCAGTTTGTACAGTTTTTTTAATTTAAAAGACAATAGTAAAGTGAGGAAGAATGAAGAATCTAATGAAGACGTTCAGCCCATTCAGCACATGGAAGCTACACGAAGTGAAAACGAAGTAGTAAACGATAAAAATGATCAAATAGAGGATTCAGATTCACATTCAGATCAAGATCCTACAGTGATTACACTTACACCCTACCCTTCAATTTGGTCAGCAGATCAGTACAAGAATTTCAGCGATAAAAATCCATGGCTCGAAGTTGGAGAAGGAAAACTAGGTTGCAAGTTATGCAGAGAAGTAAATGTAAAGGTAAGTTTGCGGTTTTTCTTTATACAACTGTTACTACTAATTATTACAAGACAAATCTATTTTAATTCACTAAAATTTGCTTATACCTTCACGGCTTCACCCAAAATAATTATAGATTTTTTTAAGGGCTTAGGTGTACTCAAAGAGCAAGGAGTATATCTCTCTGCAGAATGGTGCGAGTGTAGAGTTGGGCCATCATTAAACGAAAAGCGGTCTACACAACTAAGTAATTTACGTGTAAAACTAAAAAAGCATGGTGAATCCAAAGCCCATCAAATGGCACAAGAGATTAAAAAACAGTCCGAAAAACATGTGGTCGAAGAACTTCTACGGAAGGAAAGTGAAGAAGCAAACGATGCTACTGCAAAGATTTTTCGGACAGTCTACTATCTGGCTAAATCCGACCGCCCATTTAGCGATCACGAAGGATTAGTTGAACTTCAGCAGCTGAACGGAATAAATTTAGGGCTAATTCTGCATTCATGCTACAGTGCTGTACAGATTGTAGACCATATAGCAAGCGAAATGATAAACAAAATGATTTCACATGTAATCGCCAGTAACGCCAAATTATCAGTACTTGTAGACGAATCGTCTACCCTCGGACGTAGAAGTGTGCTTATTATATATGTATCTTTCGTATTATTTTCTGAGCCAATCTTTCTATTTCTGGATTTAGTGGAACTAAAAAGTCAAACTGCTGATCACATAATGGAATCATTGATACAAACTCTAACCAAATATGGGTTTTCTAATGAATATTTGTTACAAAACTGGGTATCTTTTGTGTCCGATGGTGCAAGCGTTATGACAGGAAAAAAGTCTGGAGTCGCTGCACGTGTTACTTGTAAATTTCCAGCTATTTTGTGTTGGCATTGTATGAGTCATAGGTTGGAAATGGCAGTGGGAGATGCTCTAAAAAGTATTACTGCAACAAACCATTTTCAGTCATTATTAGATTGTCTTTATTCATTATACAGCCAGTCAAATAAAAATCAGGAAGAATTAAGGGAAGCTGCAGCTGAACTAGATGTCCAGCTTCTTAAAATTGGGAAAGTGTTTGACGTTCGTTGGGTAGCAAGCAGTTAAAGGACCGTTTCGCGTGCCATCCACCCATCAATTCGATATGGTGAGAAGGAAATCAAGACTATATGTACAGCTACGATTTAAACTTAGACCAATCCAAAGCAATTAATGGCATGCGAAAAATATATTGACTCGAATATTTTTCGGCAGATGATTTGCAAGAGTTTCAAGAACTGGTAAAAACATTCCCCTTGCAGT